GAAGTCTGGAAAAAAGAAAAAGATGACCTTTGAGAAAGGTGGAGACTCTAATATGGCCCTTAGGTAACATCTAACAGTTACAATACAATAAACAAAAAAACAGACTCATCTGGGATGGTGGGAAAGAGTCTGTGGTCCCAATGTGTTGGTCAGTTTCTGTTCAAGCCGAGTAACTCAACAAACGTAGACTCTCATTTATCAGCATCAACTGAGTCCATTTGGTTTCTGGGTGACTTTATTTTGCTAATTATTGATCTACTTTGTTGATGAATCATCTCGAAATAGTAGGTTAACGTATGTAGAAGTGATTTTTAGTAGCTGGTTGCTCGACTGACGTTTGCTGCTTGGAAAACTGTCCAGCTGTATGATGTGCAAGCATCGGGTCTCCTTACAATATATTTGGTTCCTTAAGATGGATTATGATTTCAAACTAATCCTCTTCACAGTGTGACCTTGACTTCACTGTACATTATCCCTTACATAACACAGTATATGTAGGGTCGCCCCGAAAGCTGCGCTGCTCAAAGCTTCTGAAGAACTGAGATAATATCGCAGCTTTAAAACCGCCCTCCCGCGACGTCTCACTACCTGGTAGATATCCTCAAATGCTTCTCAGCACACAGAGTGGAGGAAATAACTATTTATTATTTATATTCCCGACTGAGTTGCTTACTTACAGAAAAATGAACAGTCTCCGATTTTTATGGTAGTCTAGGAGCTTGGAAAGACTACGATGACCTGGATGACTGAGAACCTTCACAGACAGATTTTTATGCTAGTTTTTGATGGAGGAAAGGCATTCGATAAAAATTATACAATAATTTACAAATCAGTGTGTGAAATAAACCAGTCAGACTTCACGTTCCTACAGACTGGCTTTTAACCCATGTGGCACACAGACTTCAGTCAATCAGTCACTTACAGATCCTCCTGATCCCAAATCGCTATTGGTGTGTATAACACACACCTGTCCACAGAATCAGTTTCATCCATTCTAACCTCTTCACACCTCAGAGAAGACCAAAGAGCTGTCTTAGGACGTCAGCATCAAATGAGCATCATAGTCTGGAGCTCCATGCAAGATCTCATCTTATGAGTGGTGGATCTCCCCAAAACTACATCTGATCTGATCTGAAGGCCAAGAACATCTTTGGTAGCACATTGCACCATAATGGACTAAAGTGTTGCAGTACCCACAATACCCCCTCCCCGCCACCCCCTACAAGAAACATCACACTGCTGTGCAGAAGCAGCTGTTCCTCCACCAAGTACTAAGTCATGTTTTGCTTGGAGATCAAATGCATTAAAAGCAATTTATAACTTCTATGTTATGTGTTTTTTTTTTCTGGATTTTTGGTTATGGTAAATGGTAAATGGCCTGCATTTGTATAGCGCTTTTCTAGTCCATAGGACCCCAAAGCGCTTTACACTACATTCAGTCATTCACCCATTCACACACACATTCACACACTGGCAATGGCAAGCTACATTGTAGCCACAGCTGCCCTGGGGCGCACTGACAGAGGCGAGGCTGCCGGACATAGGCGCCACCAGGCCCTCTGACCACCACCAGTAGGCAAACATGGGGTTAGTATCTTGCCCAAGGATATTTGACATGCAGCCAGGATGCAGCCTGGGATCGAATCACCGACCTTCTGATTAGTGGCTGACCTGCTCTGCCACCTGAGCTACAGCCACCCAGGTTGTATCGCTCTTAAAATACAACTTCCATAAAAATTAGAGAAACAAACAGATTCAGCAGGAGATGAAATCATTATTCCCCGCGCTGTATCAGGGCAGCTATGTTCCAACGTAGTCTGAATGAACTAAACAGCAGTGACTCAGTGTCATTGGAATGATTTTCTGTAACTCTGATCATGAGCCACTCAAAACCTTAAAGTTGTTTTGCTTTATTCTATTTATTCTGCTGGATGGTTTTACTTTCATCTGTCAAACTGTGGGACACTCTTCTTTCTGGAAGTCTTTTATTTAAAGTAGACTAGGATAATGGTATGTCTACTTCCTGGAGAGTGGGCTTCACTTGGTTGGGTCTTGCTTCTGTGGCCTGTTTCCATCGATGATATTACCCATGTGTTCTTTAGTTCCAAGATGTAGGAACTTCATTCTGGTTGCGCAGTTTCAGTTTGGCCTGTTTCTCTTGCTCTGGGAGCTTCTTTACCTGCAGCTTGTAGGTTTACAGCAACAGCTTCCAAAAGCAAATGCTGCTTTGGATCTTTGCTGTTTGTCTGTGAAGGTTCTCAGTCATCCAGGTCATCGTAGTCAAAGGAGCTTGCAAAGAAAAGCGTCTGGACTTCTTTAAGTTACTTGAAGACGTTTCACCTCTCATCTGAGAAGCTTCTTCAGTTCTAAGGTCAAATGGTGGAGAGTCCCAGGTATAAACCTAGTGGGAGTTTCCCCCCACAGAGGGACAAAAGGACCCCCTGATGATCCTCTAATCGCCTGAGCCAAGGTGTGAAACTGGGTGTGGGTCCCAATCAGCCAGAGTTTCGGGTGAGTTCATTGTGAAACCTGGCCCCACCTTATCATGCGAATTCCTGAGATCAGATGGCCCAGGATGTGAGTGGGCGTTAAGGCGTCTGGGAAGGGATCTCAAAACTGGATTATAGATGGCAGAGAGTTGGTGTCGTAAACCCCCGCCTCTGTTCAAAGATGGTCGCTCACAGTGGACATCTTTGCTGTTTGTTTTATTTCCAACCATTCATCCATCCATTCATCCATCCAACCATGCAACTATCCAACCAACCATCCACCTAATCATCCAACTATCCAACCAACCATCCACCTAACCACCCAACCATCCACCTAACCATCCAACCATCCAACTATCCAACCAATCATCCAACTAACCATCCAACCATGGAACTATCCAACCAACCATCCAACTAACCACCTAACCATCCACCTAACCATCCAACCATCCATCTAGCCAACCAGCCATCCAACTAATCATCCAACTATCCAACCAATCATCCAACTAACCAACCAACCATCCACCTAACCACCCAACCAACCATCCACCTAACCATCCAACCATGGAACTATCCAACCAACCATCCAACTAACCACCTAACCATCCACCTAACCATCCAACCATGCAACTATCCAACCAACCATCCACCTAATCATCCAACTATCCAACCAATCATCCAACTATCCAACCAACCATCCACCTAACCACCCAACTATCCAACCAACCATCCACCTAACCACCCAACCATCTACCTAACCACCCAACCATTCACCTAACCATCCAACCATGCAACTATCCAACCAACCATCCAACTAACCATCCAACCTTCCATCCAACTAACCAACCATCTAAACATCCATCTAACCATCTAAACTGCAAACATGACTGTTAAATCAACATATGTATGAAAAGCTTTCTCTTTGCAGCTCCAACTATCCAACCAACCATCCAATCATCCACCTTAGCATCCAACCATGCAACTATCCAACCAACCATCCACCTAATCATCCAACTATCCAACCAACCATCCACCTAACCACCCAACCATCCATCCAACCATCCACTTAACCATCCAACCATGACACTAACCAACCAACCATCCACCTAATCATTCAACTATCCAACCAACCATCCAACTAACCATCCAACCATCCATCCAACCATGGAACTATCCAACCAACCATCCAACTAACCACCTAACCATCCACCTAACCATCCATCTAGCCAACCAGCCATCCAACTAACCATCCATCCATCCAACCATGTAACTATCCAACCAACCATCCACCTAACCACCCAACCATCCATTCAACCATCCACCTAACCATCCAACCATCCACCTAACCATCCAACCATGTAACTAACCATCCAACCATCCACCTAATCATCCAACTATCCAACCAACCATCCACCTAACCATCTAAACTGCAAACATGACTGTTAAATCAACATGTGTATGAAAAGCTTTCTCTTTGCAGCTGGTTGGTAAATTAAGTTTAAATGAAACAGAGAAGCACAGTACCCTTAACCTCTCCTAACCTAAAAAAAAGACCTTCCAGGTAAAGTTGCAGAATTTATTTGGTGCTTGGTTTTAATCCAGTAGACCTCTGAAGACTTTTAGGTGGAAGTGATTATTGTCAGTCCTCAAGGGGGCAATATAATACACAAAGAACTAACTGGATCCTTTGCATGACCACTGTATGAAAAAACGTGTCATCTGCAGAGATGTGTGTCACTAAAGAGAGAGAGAGAGAGCAAAACAGCAGATGCACCATGTGACCGTTCATTTGCTATTTTTGGAAGTGGTCAGCATGATTATTTTGAGTGTAAGTGAACCCAAATTAAAGGATCAGCTCTCTCTTGTTGCTACTCCCATAAAACTGACACAGCATCTGTTTCGATGTCTTTAGTCGACGTTTGAGGGAGGCATCAAACTGAGCTTAGAGCCCAAAGATTTAAAAAAGCCTCTGGGCCCAGCCTCGAGTATTCATGTCAGTCTGTCCGTGACAGGCTTTGCTGCCTCTACACGAACCTTTGAAACGCTCAGACACCAGCATGTGACTCAAACTGCCGCTCAAACTGACTCTGTGCTGACTCTGAGCTGAGACTTGAGAACGACCAGCAGACAGCAGGATCATGTTCACCACGTCGGAGTCTCTTCAGCTTTAATCTGAAACCTTCTCACCCACAAATCTCTCAGCAGAAGCACAAAACAACTGCTCCGTAATGTTCCTTTGATTATTTCTAATCACTGTTTGTGTTCGCCCGAGCCTCCAAACATCCAGGTCGCCACATGGTTCAACCGCCTCGTCGTTTAGGAGGCGACAGATTTTATTGGTTGGACGTAGCCGGGTGGAGGTGGGAGGGAGAGAGGGAGACAATGCCAAAATCCTGTGATGATTTGATTATTTTGTGCAGCGGCGCTCTGAGGAAACAGAGCGAGAGGGGCTTTGGCTGAGGGAGGATGTTGATATGTGTTTAAATCTGTTGTGTTTTTGCTTGTTGCCAGGACGATCATGGGCCCACACGGCATCAGCCGAGCCGTACAGAGGCTGGAGTTCTGCGACTGCAAGAAGGGACTCGGTGAGCATCTTTCCCTCGACCTTACTGACCTCTGAGTCCTTATTAACCGCTCCTCCTTCAGCCGCAGCTCAGCATCTGAAAATGCTGCGATCGCCTGTCACAACTAGATGAAGAGCCAGTACAGCCTGAAAGCCAGGCTCTTTTTTAACTGGAGCTCATCTGTGTGTGTTCACAGGTGTTAAAATAATTGGGGGCTACAGAGAGCTGACAGGAGAGGAGTTTGGTATCTACATAAAGCGAGTGATCGCTGGTGGGCTGGCCGCTCTGGATGGTAGCTATTCTTCTGGTATTTTTTGTGGATCGGTTACTACAGACACTGTTATCGTCCCTCACTTTGCCTTCTCTCCGTCCGTCTGTCTGTCACTCTCTGTTCCAGGTCGGCTTAAGTCAGGTGACCTGATTTTGGATGTCAATAACATCAGCCTGATAGGGGTGACCAATGAGAGGTGAGTCTCACTGTTGAGGTATTTTAGAAAATGCAGCATGGCGGTCTCGCATCACTTGTTTATTTGCACTGTTTGAATTGTGAAGCTGCATGGACTGCAGAGTGTTGGTGTCCATCACACTTTATGTGAATGCTGCACGTGAAATTTTGCAGCCTCAACATCTGCTTTAAGGTCATCAACATGTTGGCATTTTTGAGTAAAAATGACCATATTTGGACAAGAGGGTGGAGTATTATCAGCTACTTTATCTAATTCAGTTCAGTTTTATTCATATAGCAACAATTTACAACACCAGTCGCCTCAATGCTCTTTAGTTTATAAATTAAGAAATTAAGACTATAAAATAAGACTTATTAAGACAATAATACAGAGAAAGCAACACCAACAATCACATGACCTCCTATTAGCAAGAACTTGGAGGCAGTGGGAAGGAAAAACTCCCTTTTGAACCTGAGTTAGTGTATGGGAGCATAGACACAGATACTTGCTAATCTTGCTAACATCAAAATAAACATGTACTGCACCAAAGCTGTTAATACAGTGACCTCACAGCAGCCCCATTATTGGTCATATGATGTCATTAAAAAGGCTCCGACAGCACAAACACGGTCCAGAGGTCCAGTTCAGGTGAAGCTAGCAGACAGCTACCAGCTACAGCCGCCTGTGTCACCATCCACCCTTCACTCAAAGAGGCCACACCCCTAATGATGCAACTACAAGCCTTAGTGCAATTTAAACAGGTGACCTATAGAAACACTCCCTGCTGTTTTTTAAGGGAGAAACTGCAGTTAATGTGCAGGAAATAAGGAAAACAGGAAGTTTTCTATTTCGGGTTTTTTATGTCATGTTTAGCACGACCGCTAAACGCAGCAGTTTCCTGTTCCTGATTTTTGTCTATGACAGACAATAGCCTCACCTTCACATGTAAACACTGCAGATAATTTAAACTGCAGCCCGAGTGTTCATTCTGAGAGCAAACTTTGATTATAGCTGACTAAATCTAAAGTTGATTCAGGCGACTGAAGTCTAAATGCAGGTCTAACCTCGTCGCACCAGGAGATTACTTCTCATTGGATAACTTCCAAACTCGTCCCGCCTTTCTGCTCAGCTGAATCAGTTTTGATTGGATCTTGTCTCTCCAGAATATTTTCATCTCATATTTATTCGTTGACAGACTGTTGATTCATCACAGTTTGTGTCCTTGTGATTAGATTTTATTTTGTTATCATCTTGTTTTCATCAGAAAAAATGATGATGAAACTTACTGGTCAAAACTGACACTGGATGGTACTACCTGCTGAAGTATGGTTTTTATTAGCTGGAGACACCAACGTCATAAACACTGATGATAACCAAGTATCACAGTTCCAGTTAAACTTAAAAATCAGTTTCATTCTTTAAACAGAGGCTCGAAAGTCGTAGATGGAACGACAATCACAGCTATCGATCATCGGCCACACGACGGATACTAAAGTTCTTTTGAACTTTTAAGTAGGAGCAAAGACTTTTGGGCTCGAGTCAGTTGCTGTCAGCATCTAGTGGCTGTCGGTGGTACTGCAGTCTATTTGTCCAATAGGTCCACAGAGGACGTTTCCACCAGGCAGAGATGTCCTTGAGTTTCACACATGGACTCTTTATCTTCCATCACACGCTGGTAATGTTTACTGCTCGATTCTGCTCCCTGATAGGGCGGTGGAGATCTTAAGGACGGCCTCGGTCTCCAATCACATGTCCCTGCTGATCGCCAGAGATGAGGAATCCAGGTAAGGAGGTGCTTTTATTCTGACATTATCCCTCTGATTTTACTGCTTTTTCTCAGTCTGGCTGAGCTGAGCATGTTTTCTGAGGTTATCTGAGGACGAACTCGGTTTGTCTGATGGTGATGATCTGTGATCAGCAGAGCAGCTGATTGAAAGTCATCTTAGAACAGAACATCTGAGCTGAGCTGCAGGGGTGACTGCCAGGCCGGGGGGTTGATGCTGACAGTTGGGGTTATGTTCCTGCAGTGGGTGGACAGACAAGTGAGCCTGAAAGTGTTCAGGGTCACAAGTTCAGGTGTGCAGACACTTCTCCAGTCACATTTTAATGACTGAATGGAGCATTTAAGCTTCTTACGCTCCCTCGTTCAGTGTGAGTGGAGGAAAAGTCGGGTTTTAAGCTTTTTCTAAAGAGGCTCTTCATAAAGATGGAATCTGCTTTTATTCCCACTGAGACGACGCTGACGTTCTGCAGCTCCGAGGATGGGATTTCAGCTTTCCGTGCTCCTGGAAACGAGGCTCGTCAGTGGTTTGATTCGTCCTTGGAGCGAGCTGTGAGGTGATGTGTGAGGTAAACTGACCTGGCACTCTGCTGGCCCCTGTGCTTTTTCACGTCAGCTCAAACACAGCTTGACACAATAGGGACACGGGGCTGTCTGTCCACAGGGTCTCTGCTCTGGGAAAGAGCTGCAGCTGCTCAGCACAGAGACATGACCGGGGATCAGACCGCCTCGGTGACATCCTGCTGTCTCTGTGGGGAGACAGTTGCGTCATGAAACTGTACTGTCAGTCTGTGAAAGCACGATATAGGTTTTATTTGTTTTCATGAACTGGATTCACTTCAAGGGTCAAACATGAAAAATGTCACTAACACTGCAGTTCCTCTGACGTCCAGCAGAGGCTCCAGCAGCGAGTTAGACCTCATAGACTGTTAACCTTTACAGAAGAAATAAACATGGTTATAACCTGTTTTAATAGCTCGACTGTTTATAGGTTTAAAGTTTGCATCATTAGGGGCGTGGCCTATTTGAGTGACAGGTGCTGTTGCTTTGTGGAGAAGTAGTTCAGTGTATTACACATTTTTCCAGCCAAGCCTGCTAGTGTTAGCTGCAGGAGCAATTTATATAAAAATTAGTGCTGTCAGCGTTAATCTGACGTGCACAGTATCAATGAGTTTGCCCACGTTAGCACGTTGACGCCATCCAGCCCCACGCACAGGGCGATCCGCGGCAGCTCATTAATGGAGGTTTGCCGCGTTA